CCATGTTTGGCTCAGACTTTCGGTCTTATTTATAAAAGTCTGTAAAATGTCTCTAATTATTAAATTACTTTTGCAGCAGAATACCATGTCTGTTTGGCTGACGCCACGGCACTGACTCTAGCCCGGGCAACAAAGTGAGACTCTGACTCAAAAAAAAAAAAAAAAAAAAAAATTTGGGGGAAAATACTGAAATCAAAAAATGAAATACTTATGGATAAACAGCTTTATTAAAAATTAAGAAATACATACAATAAAATATTTAAAACGCTAGTATTTGAACAGTCATTAAGGAGAAGTACAAAAAATGCTTCACATCAATAATAAAGGAACACAAATTTAAATTAACTGTCAGTGTTCATCTATCAAAGTAGCAAAGATTCAAAAAGTGATAATGCCCAATACTGATGGGGATGCAGTAAATTGAACAAATTTTTGACAAACTGTTGGAAGTATAGCTTGGTGCCATCTTGTGTGCAGTCTGGCAGTATCTATAAATGCTTTAAGTCTGTATGTTTTTTTAATCAACAGCAATTTAATTTCAGTGAACTAAATCTAATGTAATAGGATAAGGGAGTAAGGCTATATATACAGAAGTATGTTCATTGCAACATTTTTAATAATAGCAAAAACCAAAAAACCACTTAAATGTCCATCAGTTGGGGGTTTGGTTTTATACACAGTAGACTACCGTTTAACTATTATTTATTTATTTTTTTAAAGAGACAGGGTCATGCTCTGTTGCCTAGGTTGGACTGCAGTGTGGATTATAGCAGTCTTATAACTCCTGGGCTCAAGCAACTGCCCACCTCAGCCTCCCCAGTAGCTGAGAGTACACGCACATGCCAACACACATGGCTAATTTTTAAATTTTTTGTAGAGCTGTTACCCAGGCTGGTCTTCAACTCCTGGCTTCAAGTGATCCTCCCACCTCAACCTCCCAAAGTGTTGGGATTACAATGTGTAAGCCACCATGCCTGGCCCTGTTTGACTGTTAAACACAGAAGTTAATATTTTGATATGGAATGATATTCCTGATCATTACATTAAAAATAAAAGCAGGTTAGAGAAAAATATATATAGTACCATCCCATTTAAAGTATCTACATATAATAGGCATGATTTTATGTATATTAATATTAATGTAGGTTTTGAAATCTGGTTGGCAGAGCTTCAAAAAAGGTAGGAGAATTATGGGAAAGTGGGGCTTTTATTTTTGTTTTTGGATTTTTTCTAAAGAAATAAAAATCCTGTAATAGAAAATATAACTAAATTTCATTTTTAAAGTCTGCACTAATTTTTCCTTTGAATATGTAATTTTTTTGTATGTTGCTTTGTTAGTTTAGGTTACTGAGTTAACAAAAAATGTGTTAAGAAACTCATTATGCTCTTGTATATTCTGTTTTCAGAGCAGTGGAAAGAGCTCAGTGCTAGAAAGCCTAGTGGGGAGGGACCTGCTTCCCAGAGGTACTGGTATTGTCACCCGGAGACCTCTCATTCTGCAGCTGGTCCATGTTTCACCAGAGGATAAACGAAAAACAACAGGAGAAGAAAATGGTAAATTTCAGAATTGGGATAAGAATTATTTTAAAACTCTATGTATTTTTGCTCTGTTCTTAAAAAGATATTAATTGATTAGACAATTAGAAATTAGTAGCTGTAGAAAAATGAGAAGTTCTGTGAGGAGAAGTATGTATCTTTCTTAATGTAAAAAAAGTAATTTTTTTGAAAGGCCATGAGTAAAGTTGTTGGGGATAGTCCCTTTTGAGTAATTCCACTTATTAAGCTGTTATTAATGCTATTTAATGGAGGATCCAGTGAAACACTTCAGTAAACATGAATCAGTTATTTTAAAGAAAAAGTTTTTAGGTGTCTTTTGGAGTGTTTTAAATTTTTTCTTTTCCTAGTATTTAAAACACTGATTTGCATTGATTTACAACTTAAGTCATTTAGAATATAGTTGAAAGATTTTATTTTAAATAAAATTAAAATGACTTTGTGTTTTAGTTTAGCAGTGTTATTTTACCTTTCTTTCTCTTGGTCTTCTCATGTAATTTTGATTCTTTTGCCTTTCAATGTAAGATGAATATTATTTATGGGAAGAGTTTTAATTTTAAACTTACTATTTTTTTTTCTGAGGCAGAGTCTCACTCTATTGCCCAGGGTAGAGTGCAGTGACATCATCACAGCTCACTGCAACCTCAAGTGCCTAGGCTCAAACAATCCTCCTTCCTCAGCCTCCCGAGTAGCTGGGACTACAGGCCCACACCACCACATCCAGCTAATTTTTCTATTTTTTTTGTAGAGATGGGGTCTCGCTATGTTGCTCAGGCTGATCTTGAACTCCTGGCCTTAAGCGATCCTTCTTCCTCGTCCTCCCAAAGTGCTAGGATTACAGGCATGAGCCAGTGTGCCTGGGCTTCAATTTCTAAATTATTAGTTTTTTTCTCCTTCTCTTGCTAGGGTTTATCTGTATAGCACATATTATTTTGATTTTTACAGACTTACACCCCCCACCCGGCACCCCCCACCATGTTCAGGATTAGTTTACAGCTAAACTCAGTTAGGCTATCTCTTTAATGGACTATATGAATAGTAAATGTGTAGTATTAAAATAAGAAAATATGCTTTGTCCTTTTAGCAGTTCTCTTTTGGTTAAATTGAAAATATTTTAAGGAATGCTATTTGTGACTATCAGCAGATTTTAAGTTACTTATTAAATGTGTATCCTATATTAATCATACTTAGTGAGGGTTGAAATGTTTGATGAGAGTAATGTATTTCATCTTCCTGTTCCATGTTTGGCTCAGACTTTCGGTCTTATTTATAAAAGTCTGTAAAATGTCTCTAATTATTAAATTACTTTTGCAGCAGAATACCATGTCTGTTTCTTATCTGCAGAGGTCTGTTTTCAATGCAGTTCCATTCTACTTATATTCTGATTTAAAATGGGATGATAGTATTGATGAAATTGAAGTACTTTAATTTCTGCATCTGATTTCTTTATTTACTATAGGAGCCGTTTGTGATGATGACTTAATTTTTTTTTTTTTTTAAGGGGGGAAAACCTATCATGAGCATCTACTGGTGACTCTGGAATGTTAATCACTGGAACAAGTTAATGAAGTTGGAGATATTAATAAGTAATATTTTTGGGTAGACTGCCAGTGGATATGTAGGAATTTTTAAATTATATTTTAATTATATTAGGTAGCTCTTGGTGTGTTATTCATCATTTTGCATTTCTGTAATATTTATTATTGAAATTCTGAACCTTGAATGTAATCATCTTGGATTGACCTATGATTCAGCTTCAAATATGTAGAATAACACTTCTTAAATTTCATCCTTACTAATTGATTTCATCAAACAGATTTATCAAACACCTGAAACCAAGACTTTAAGAAACTATATGGCATTAGGTCTCTTTATTTTAACTTTTCATTTTCTTCAGTCACCTTGAAAGGGCAGATGATATCCTGTCTCTCAGAAACTATTTGTAGATGTGGGTAGTGTTTCCTTAGATAAAATTTTGCTTGTTAGAAAAGGGTATACATTCAGCTATAGAAGTGTCAGCTCCTTGGTATCTCTTTGCTTGTATATCCACTATGTTTTGTTGATGTCTCTTTTTGGTGGTTGGTCAGTAAATTGGCTTATCTTTACCTGTATACATATTTTTTTCCAAGCTTAGTGCTTATTTTGTATATATAAATGAAAAAACTCACTTAAAATGACAGCTCAGCTACTCAGAACACAAAACAGATTTCATAAATTTGAGTACTAAATTTCAGGTGTCTTATTCTAAGATAGTTCCTTAGCCTCTGATCAGAGCCTCTTCATCCTTGGGATAAAAAGTTCTAGCTTATCACAAATCATTGTAACCCAGAGGAAATTAGAAAGCATGGAGCAGATAAACATATATTAATAGTTACCTAGAAGAGTGTGAACTACCTGACAGCCTGACAATGAGAGAGGAGAAAGGGAGGAAAACATAACCAGACAGAAGAACTTTCAAAAAAGAAAAAAATCAGTCACTCCATTTTGTATAGGGATTTATAGCCTATGAGAGCATCCTAAGTTATGAATAATAGATTAAGAGTAGTGCATTCTAAGATGACATGGAAAAGTGTAATCTGTTTTAGATATAGATCCATCAAAACTGGCTAAAATAAGATATTTTAGTGTTCAATATGTGTAATTTAATTATCAAGAAAATTTATTTAGCATGTAATTCTTCATTCTGCCAACTATGTGGGATAATTGAGGTGTCAATATGTAGATTTATGGTGTTCTCACCTTGTCCCCTCCCGCTTCTGCCAATGTAAAAAAAAATTTCTCTTAAATTCCTTTTAAAAACAAAACTAAGGCTGGGCACAGTGGCTCACACCTGTAATCCCAGCACTTTGGGAGGCTGAGGCAGGAGGATTGTTTGATGCCAGGAGTACAAGACCAGCCTAGGCAATACAGTGAAACCCCCATCTCTACAAAAAAATTAGCCTGGCGCGGTGGCACACACCTGTAGTCCCAGTACTCTGGAAGCTGAGGCGGGAGATTTCTTGAGCCCAGGAGTTTCAGGTTATAGTAAGCTATGACCATGCCACTGCACTCCAGCCTGGGCAACAGTAAGACCCTTAAGACCCTGTCACCCTGCAAAAATAAATTAGTTTTAAAAAAACTAAACTATGTTTTAGAGTGGGGTAGTGGTTTAGTTTAAATTTTGAACTCTACTATTATCTTTCATATATTTGTAAGAAATAAGTCAAGCTTTTTCTCAGATTTCTTTTTAGACAAAGTCTAAAAATAGCATGCTGATTAAAGACAAAAATTGTACTGTACATTATACCTGTGAACAGTGTTAGTTGAAACATGGAAATTTATAAGAATAGAGTTTATTTGGGGGAGAGAAAAGTTGTTGAACTAAAGCAAAAGTTTTTTCATTTATTTTCTTCTTTTAAATATATATGCTTCATAGAATAATGCTTAAAAATCTGGGTATAATTTGAATTTTTATCCCCACTTAGTTAAATTACTTGTAAAAGCATCAGTTGCTCCCAAAAGGCAGTAAAATTATACATAAGAATTAAAGGAAAATGGTAGGATCAATCTTTCTGCATAAAGGGCTGTGATACAAGTAGTAGTCTCCCTTTGAATTGAGTCCATGAAGGTGTAAAGTTAACTTTCTGTGGTGTACTGTTTATGTTTAATTTCATATATATTTCAAAGAAAATCTCCTTATAAAGCTCAGTCTTAGCTAATGGGACAAATACTTGCATATATTTATTAACTCTTGAAAGATTTGAAAGACGTACTTAGTATATTTTGTAGATCCTTTTTTTTAAATCAGGCAATTTATCTTTTCCCATAGTAGGTTATCAGATATCCCAGGCAAATTTTTGAATAGTGGATTAATTGTAAACCATTTATGTCAGATTTAGAAACAATGGTGACATAGCTAATTGTAACAGGAAATTTGTTTTCTAAAAATAAACTGGCACACAATACGCTTTGCTTCTATCACTTAAAATATTATATACATCCCTCTAATTCAAGCTGTGAATTCTGAATAATTGAATGCTATGTGCATTTGAAATGTGATCAGGTTTCTGCACATTTGATTTTTTAAAAAGGTTCAAAATTTTAGGGATAAGCACTAAACTTATTCTGTGCTGTTTCTCTTTAAATACAGACCCTGCTACATGGAAAAACTCAAGACACCTTTCTAAAGGTTTCCTTTATCCATTTGTTTTTGGCCCTTTTTCTTTTATGCCTGCATGTGTGCTTATGTACTCTTACAGGCTGTGTGCATTTTTTTTCCTTCCATTTTTATTTGCCTATCCACATTGATTGCAGGTTTTAGTGGTTCTTGTTATTTTTTTTGGCATTGTATCAAAATGCAAGCTTTTTTGGTCATGAATGTAATTTATTTTATTTTTATTTTTAAACACATGCTTGTGAAGCTAGGCCTCTTTTATATATTAAGGTAAATTAAAAACACTCCTTTAGTATGTAGTACCTGCCTTTGTGAGTTCTGTTCACCTAGATTACTTCAGTCCTCCAATGAGACTTCTTGGAAGAAGGTACTAAGCTTCAAGTAGGTGAGCATTTTACTTGGAAAAAGGATCCAGTTTTATTTACCTTTATTCCACCGAAGATTTGATCCATCTTTTCCTCAATAAATATTTATCTGAAAATCTTAGAGTCATTTTTATTTTGATTTCAGGCAGCCAATATGCATTATTAAATAAACAATCATTAAATCATTGTAAACTTCTCTGAATTTGGCAAAAGCAACACAACTGTGCTTGGGGGAGGTAAAGTTAGATTACCTTTCTACAATTAAACATTTCTAGTTTCTCTGGGATAAATAGAACAAAACTTGCTGTCCAAGTTTTAGACTATTTCACACAGTGCAGATAGTGAATATATTTTCCTTTTCGCAGCAAGTGCAAGAGGAATAGACCTATGATTGGAAACTAATAGAGAGTGGGGTAACTCCATACAATGCATACCAGCGTTTTTGGTTTTTTTTTTTTTTTACTGTTCCTCCATTTTCTTTCTTTCCTACCTCCAGTTCTAAGGGAAAACACAGTCTTCACCCTGGGGGAAAAATCACCTTTAAAGTGTATGTAAATTTACAAATCAGCTAGCTACATAATACTGAAAGAGCTCTTTAAAGGACTAGCAAGTTGTGACTTTATAGGTAATTAAAAAAAAAGCTGAAAAATTAGCTGTTTCATTCACATATTGCAAATTTTTACCTTGAGCTATGTATGCAAATATGTTATACAAGCTTTTTACATTAGTCAAAATTCTTAATTTTTCTTCTTAGCCATTAACTTGAGTACTTCCATTAGAAAAATTGCTTTTATGTGTACTATGTTTAAAAAGAAAGAATATACCTTTTACTATAATATAATTACATATAAAACATGAAGAGAAGTAAACAATTTATTTGTAAAATCTAGATTTCAAATGGTGAGAAGACCTGTGAGCAGCTCTACCTGAAGTTAGTCATGTTTTGAAATACATAATATAATTTTTAAGATGTGAAAAATATAATTTAGCAGATCTTAAAACACTTGTTAACATGTAGTTAATGGCAAAATAGAAACAAATAACAATTTATTATGTTGCTTTTTTCAATTCCTAACTAAAGATAAAAAGTAATTTCCATAGTTTCCAATAAATGAGTTTTTCTTTTTCTAGGGGTGGATGCAGAAGAATGGGGTAAATTTCTTCACACCAAAAATAAGGTAATCACACATGAATATAATGAAGAAATAAGATGTTGAAAATAATATTTTGTACAAGTAGTTGGTAACTTCGTTTCTTATCATTGGCAATGTGTTATGTTATTTTGAAGCAACTGTTCCTTGTAAAATATTAATACATATTATCTCAGTAACATTTCTAACCATAATAGTTTATTTGGAAAACACTTGAAGTTGAGCCCAATTCTCTCCAATTTGGTTATTCTTAACTGCTGTGGGATCAGGCAGCTTTGCTCATAAAACCTATAAACTCTTAGCTCAGAAAAATATATATATACATCATAATTTATTTGCTAATCTCTGAAGCAAATACATACACATCCTTGAAATATATGGACACTTCCTCAACTTAAAAACTTTTGATCTTATTTTGAATATTGTGCTTTTCATTTCAATAATTTTTAGCTTTACACAGATTTTGATGAAATTCGACAAGAAATTGAAAATGAAACAGAAAGAATTTCAGGAAATAATAAGGTAGGCATCTTTTTAGAGCTGGCATAAACATCAGTAAATGTATCATTGAAGTGTTCTGTATGTAATGCGTGAAGGGCATTGTAAAATTCATAGTCTGGGTCTTTGAAACAAATGTTTTCACAAATACATAAAAACTTTGCTTAAAACCTCATTTGTTTCTTACAGCTTTTATAATATATCAGATATTTAATATTTCATTTAGGTGTTTATTCTTGATCCTGTCATGTATATACAACCTTATTATATAATTATTCTACTTAATATTGCTATAATTTATCTTTTTCTGGTGGATTGATTATACTCTCAGGAAGTATTATATAACTTATGAGATATATGTATTTTGAAGAGTTCTTTTTCTTGTCTGAGTAAGGCTAGATTTATTTATGAAAGCAAAGAAAGAAAAATTAGGTTTTTTTTTAGTGAAAATGAAAAGTAATATGTTAGTAACTGATTACTTTCTTATTTTAAGATTGTGAGAATTTAAAATAAATTAGGTGTCTAAGATACTGTTAATGTTGACACCAGGCACTCTCCCTGCCTTGCCTAAATCCTTGTTTTTTCTTTTCTTTCTTTATTCCTATTACTTTTCTCTTTACATGTTTAAATATACATTTCTTTAAATTTACATTTCCCTTCCTTTTTGTTTTTACCTCCATTGTTACATTATCCAGAGGCACATTTAATCCCACAAATAGGTTCTAGCCTAGTAGTAAATTCGACAACTATTTATTGAGCCCTTCTATCTGCCAGGCACTGTGCTACAGAGGTTATTTCCTGACAAATAGGCATTTTTGAAGCCATGTTAAGTATTTATGCCTATTCAGGATATTTGTCCCTGTTTTAGTAACTGAGCTTTGTTCATTATTGAACTCTAGGCTGGTAACCTTTGAGTTACTGCTACTGCTGCCATACTTCCCTGAAATAACCCTGTTGTCTATAAAGAGTAGAAAAAGTAGCCAGAAACTAGATTAGCTTGTCCTCAGTCCTATAATTATATTAGGGATGATACTGGCTTTTGTAATGTTACTAGTCATAACTCCAGTCTGAATTGTCCTGCAGTCCCCATGTACTTAATGAACTCAGCAATTGGTGGTAGTTGTACACAGTATCAGAATGTAAAGAGAATGTAAGACTGTGATGATTCAGAAATGAAAAGTTGAGTTACACTAACTGAATGTCATTAAAGATTGAGTCTATGTACCTATAAGATGTTTAATTTATGCTAAGGATATAATTTACTTACCTAGCAGCTTTTCATCCATAGCATCTAAAAGACAAAATGTCCCCCAACCCCAAATCTCTGAAAAATCTCTTCTTTCCTAGATCGTGTTTGTAATGAAGTAAATGGTACTTCAGGCCTGGTGTTGTGGCTCACGCCTGTAATCCTAGCACTCTGGGAGGCCAAGGCAGGAGGATCACTTGAGGGCAGGAGTTCAAGACCAGCCTGAGCAAGAGCAAGACCCCATCTCTACTGAAAAAAAAAAATAGAAATTAGTCGGACAACTAAGAATAGAAACAAAAAATTAGCCGTGGTGCCAAGTGCCTGTCGTCCCAGCTACTTGGGAGGCTGAAACAGGAGGATCGTTTGAGCCCAGGAGTTTGAGGTTGCTGTGAGCTAGGCTGATGCCATAGCACTCTAGCCCGGGCAACAGAGTGAGACTCTGTCTCAAAACAAAAACAAAAAGTAAATGGTACTTCAGTCTTACATGTCTGAATGTATAAATGATTTCATATGCCTAACATAAAGCCCTGAAGGATTTAAAATATCTGAGATTGGAGTTGTAAAGGCATTTCGGCAAAGCTTTGTATTGGACATGGTAGAAGAATGCCATGGCAATAAAGATCCTCAGAAATATATTATACAGTCTAGGTAGATAATGCCAAATATTGACATTTAATGGCTTTGTAACACTGTAGTGTTTAAAATGGAAAAGTAGTTCAGAGTAATTGAATATAGCAAATGTAATTGTATAGAGAACGTGGAGTAATAGATGTTCCAAAAAAGCTTCCTGGAAAATTAGAATTTTCAGTGAGGGAAATATATAAGGAGGATAAATAGATGAGAGGACATATTAAGGGATAAAGGACATGTACAAAGACAAGGTATGAACATCTCCTAAGTGTCATTTACATGTAGCTGACTCAATCCTAAAACTTCTAGAGGGCTAATGGTGAAGAGTCTATGCAATAATCTTTGTCTACAGGACAGAAAATACATGTATCTCTCATCATCCAAATTCTTCCTATTTGGATTCAGGGATCTAAAGGTTCAGATAAATTTTCTGAGGAATTACCTTACTGTACACACTCTTGCCACTTGATATTCAAAGATCAGGAACCAGATTAATTTGGATAGCTTATTTTCTATGCCTCACTCTCTGAACTCAGGAACCTCATAAATTTGGATAGTGAGGAATATATTATTTTGTTCAGCTACTAACGCTGTTAAACATATTTAAGAAATGGCATATGCTTAGAACCAAGAGAAAAGACTGTGAAACAATACAGGGGAAATAAATTATGGTATAGGGATGGTTATGATTATAACCTGTCATATGGCTGGGTGATAATGTTACATCAGGTTTTTTTTTTTGTTTTGAGACAGAGTCTCACTCTTTTGCCCGGGCTAGAGTGAGTGCCATGGCGTTGGCCTAGCTCACAGCAACCTCAAACTCCTGGGCTCAAGTGATCCTCCTGCCTCAGCCTCCCGAGTAGCTGGGACTACAGGCATGCGCCACCATGCCCAGCTAATTTTTTCTATATATTTTTAGTTGTCCGATTAATTTCTTTCTATTTTTAGTAGAGACAGGGTCTTGCTCTTGCTCAGGCTGGTCTCGAACTCCTGAGCTCAAATGATCCGCCCGCCTCGGCCTCCCAGAGTGCTAGGATTACAGGCGTGAGCCACTGTGCCCGGCCTTGGGATCATGGATTTAAAAGCATCTAATATCTATTTACTTGAAATGAGGTTTACTTTAGCATTTCATATTTTATTGAAATTTTAATGTGATTTTAATGTAATACTTTAAAACTTATTTTTAGGGAGTAAGCCCTGAACCAATTCATCTTAAGATTTTTTCACCCAGTGTCGTCAATTTGACCCTTGTGGATTTGCCAGGAATGACCAAGGTAAGGAACAGTTGTTAACTCATTGTGGATTTGGTCATGTTGTGTTCACTTGAACAAATGTGGTTCTTCCTTGACATCCCATATGAGAATAATCAGCTTCTTTGTGCAATCACAATCTATCAGTAGCATTTCATATTGTTTAGCTCTTTTCCTTGAAACACTTTCTTTACTTAGCTTCCAGGATACCACACTCTAGGTTTATCTCCAGTCTCACTGGCCACTCCTTTTGAGTCTCTTTTGCTGTTTCTTCTCATCTCCCCAATGTCTAAACAGTAAGTGCCCCAGAGTTCAGTTTGTGGACCTCTTATCTTCTCTAGGCACACTTGATGTTTTCATCAGATTTTACGGCTTTAAATACATTAGTGTCTGTATGCTGATGGCATTAAAATATCTCTAGTCTTGTATACCCAACTGTCTATTTCACATATACACTTAAGTGTGTAACAGGCATTTCATCTTGATATGTCTAATACCAAATTCCTAACCTGTCCCTCAATTAGGTTTGAGCCTTCTATAGTCTTCCCCCTTCTTAATAAGTGGCAACTCCATTCTACCAGTTGCTTAGCCAAAAAGTCTGTAGTCACCCTTCACAATTCCCACTTCCTGTCAGCAAATCCTTTTGTCTCTCCTTACCTTTATAGTATATCCAGAACTCTATCATGTGTTACAGTTTCATAGCTTTTATCCTGATCTACCCACTGTCATCTCACCTGGATTACTGCAATAATAATAAATAATAGGATAAGTAACAGGCCTTCTTCATTATCTTGTCTTAGCAGCTAGAGTGATGCTATTAAAGTGAAAATTTAAATTGTATCATTCCTTGGCTCAAAACCTCTCCCATTTCACTGAGAATAAAAGCCTCCATCCTTACAGAATTCTAAAGTGTCTACTTGATGGGTCCTTATTATCCTTCTAACTCCTTCTGCTTTAGCCCCTTGCTCTTATTGTTCACTCTGCTTGGAATGTTCTTCCTCCAGATATCTGTATATATCTCTCCCTTATTGCCCTTAATTTCTGCTCATTCTCTCAAATGTCAGTTGTCTCAGTGAGATCTTCCCTGATTACTCTATTTAAAAATATCATCTAATTAAAAATAATAATTTAAAATCACAACCCTCTCTAATCATTCCCTAGCCTATTGTTGTGCTTTATTTTATCACAGCCCTTACCACTGCCTGGATACTATATATGTATATTATCTGCCTCTCATCATTAAAACATAAGCTCTGTGATGGCAGGAATTTTGGTCTTTTTAAAATTCACAACTGTTACATAATCTGTCATGACCTGAAATCAGGTTCAGAAGAGTGCCTGAAATATAGTAAACTGCCAATAAACACTTGATAATTGAATAAATGAATTTGTATCTAGGCAATTAACATTGCACAATCCTTAACATGGGATTGTGTTAAGTAAATTTTTACGCAAAAGTAAACTTTTGATATTTGCAAGTTATATTTGAGACTTCACGTACTACCAAATTCGTAAATACCGCTATAGTATATTGTTAATATCTTTATTTTAACTGTTTGTAAATGGAGAAATATCTATATGCTATGGATTAAATATGGGAAGAAAAAAAGCTGAGTTGATTTTTATTATTAGTTCCTTGCTCATCTCTGTTTGGTTTAGGTGCCTGTAGGTGATCAACCTAAGGATATTGAGCTTCAAATCAGAGAGCTCATTCTTCGGTTCATCAGTAATCCAAATTCCATTATCCTCGCTGTCACTGCTGCTAATACAGACATGGCAACATCAGAGGCACTTAAAATTTCAAGAGAAGTAGATCCAGATGGTAAGGACAGATGTTAATGTTTAATGAGATACTTGATTTACAATGGTAAATCTAACCTCAAGGAAGAATTTTTACTTTTAAAAGGAATATTTCCCATTGTTAATAAAAATTTAAAAATAATGCTTTCTTATTTTGCTGATAATTTTAAATAGAAATTCTGATGGAAATAAAAGTTATTAAATTGCTGTGCAGGCTAGGTAAAAATATTTCACATGACAGTATTTTTAATAGTTACGTAATGATTTAAAAATAATAAAATGGCTTTACAAAAAGGGTTGCTTATTTTCCTCTTCTCCTCTCCTCTTTTTGACAGACTCTCACTCTGTTGCCCGGGCTAGAGAGCTGTGGCGTCAGCCTGGTTCACAGCAACCTCAAACTCCTGGGCTCAAGTGATCCTCCAGGGCCTGCCTCAGCCTCCCGAGTAGCTGGGACTACAGGAACGTGCCACCACACCCGGCTAATTTTTTACATTTTCATAGAGATGGGGTCTTGCTCTTGCTCAGGCTGGTCTCGAACTCTTGAGCACAAGGGATCCTCCCACCTCTGCCTCCCAGAGTGCTAGGATTACAGGCGTGAGCCATAGTGCTGGCCTGATTTAGGTGTCTGAATGGCTGACTTTTAAGAAAAAAAAAACAGGCTGTGCCTGCTGTGGTTCACACCTGTAATCCCAGCCCTTTGGGAGGCTGAGGGGGGATCATTTGAGGCCAGGAGTTTGAGACCAACCTGGGCAACATAGCAAGACCCCGTCTTTGCAAAATAAAATTAAAAAAAAAAAAATAGCCAGGTGCAGTGGCTCAAGCCTATATTCCTAAATACTCAGAAGGCTGAGAAACGACCATTTATTGATCCCAGGAGTTTGAGGCCAGCCTGCACTACATAGACTCTCTTTAAAATAAAAAGAAAAAAAAAAGGGCAGATGACTCTCACAGTAGATGAATCACTGTGGATTATTAGTGTACAGTGGAGAATTATGGCATCTGTACTCTGCAGAGATAGAAAATATTTAGACATGCTCAAGGCACAGGGGATTCTTAGAAATAAAGGTAAAAATCCTTTTATGAAGCATTCACAACCCCAAGGATTAGTTTATACTTTTGAATCACTGATATCTAACTCATGATATGTGCATCTCTTAGTATATATAAAATGCTAGCTTATAAGAGAGTGGTTATTATTGCTGCTAATAAATGTATGCTTTGCCGCATAAAGTAACTAAAACGTTACTTATAAAAATAAGAAGCTGTTTTACTACATGAGTAATTAATGTTCATTTCAGTTAGATTAAATATCTGAGGATTTAAATTTTTTTATTTAAAGTAAACTGTTAATGCAGTTTATATGTATTAGGTCTATTTTAAACTGACCCTTCAGCCATAAACATGGTCATACTTTTGATCTACTAATCTTAATCTAGTCATACTTAGTAAGAAAATAATCCAACCCAGTATTATTTATAGTATCAAAAATTAAACAACTTAGTATGGCCAGCAGTAGGAATGATTAAGTAAATTAAAATAATAAAATATGAAATAAAAAGGATTTTGTAGATTTGGAGCAATGTAGAAAAATGCTTATAGTTGAAAAATACCGTAGGTAAAATTATGCACTATGCAGAGCAGCTGGAACTCTCATATATTGCTGATGGGAATGGTATTAGCCACTTTGGGAAAACAATTTGGCAGTTTCTTACAAAGTTAAATCAGCAATCCCACTCCTAGGTATTTACTCATGTTAAATGAGAATCTATGTTCATATAAAAAATTATATGCAAATATCTATAGCAGCTTTATTCACAATTTCCAAAAAACTTGAAACAACTCAAATATTTCTCAAATGGGGAACGAATAACTGAACGTATGTTCCATACAATGGGACACTACTCAGCAGTAAAAAAATGAACTATTGATAGTCATCAGCAACATGGATGACTCTCAAATGCACTATGCTAAATGAAAGAAGCTGGACTGGAAAGGCTATGTACTGTATGATTCTATTTAAATAACACTCTAGAAAATGCAAAACTAGGAATGGCAAACAGGGTTGATTAGATTAGTGTAGGAAAATTTGGGGAGACAATGTCTTAAGGTGGTAGCAACATATCTCTTTGTATTTGTCAAAACTCCTAGGACTATACACCAAAAAAGAGCAAATTTAAAACAAAATTTTTTAAAAAGCGTATTCAATAGCCCTAAGAGCTAATAAAAAAATTACATGTGAAAAAAATTTAAAGAATTGTATACAATGTTTAAAATTATTTTTTGAAAAGTACTTGTAAATGAAGGTTAAGAGAAACATTATCAGGCTGAGTGTAGTGGTTCACACCTGTAATCCTAGCACTTTGGGAACCCAAGGCAGAGAATCACTTGAAGCCAGAGTTCAAGACCATCCTGAGCAACACAGCAAGACCCTGTCTCCACAAAAAAAAAAAGAAAAGTATTATTAAAATGATCACAGAGGTAATGTTAGATAGGATTACTATAGATGAGGATTTTTCTTTATTAATACTTAATGGCTTTATTTAATGGGTTGTTTTTTGTTCTTTTTTTTTGCATTTATCAGGTCGCAGAACCCTGGCTGTAATCACTAAACTTGATCTCATGGATGCGGGTACTGATGCCATGGATGTATTGATGGGAAGAGTTATTCCAGTCAAACTTGGAATAATTGGAGTAGTTAACAGGTTAGCAATCAAGAATGGGATAAGAATTGTGGCATTCTCATTTCAAAGCAAGTCTGAATTTCTCAAATGTCTGAAAGGTGATGTCCTATTTTTCTACCTTTTATAATAATCTTGGTATTGCTAAAGAATCCATTGCTCTAAAGGAAGAAAAGAGATTCACTAAAGCCTCCCATAGACATTTTTTTTTTTTTTTTTTGAGACAGAGTCTCACTCTTTTGCCAGGGCTAGAGTGAGTGCTGTGGTGTCAGCCTAGCTCACAACAACCTCAAACTCCTGGGCTCAAGTGATCTTTCTGCCTCAGCCTCCCGAGGAGCTGGGACTACAGGCATGCGCCACCATGCCCCGCTAATTTTTTTCTGTATATTTTTAGTTGTCCGATTAATTTCTTTCCATTTTTAGTAGAGAAGGGGTCTTGCTCTTGCTCAGGCTGGTTTCGAACTCCTGAGCTCAAACAATCCGCCCGCCTTGGCCTCCCAGAGTGCTAGGATTACAGGCGTGAGCCACCACGCCCGGCCCCATAGACATTTTTAATGGAAAATGTTTCTAAAATTATTAATAGCAGTGTCACAAAATGGAAGATAATAGCCAGGCTTTATGAATTCTTGCCTGTTATATTAAGCTATGTATTAGGCGGCACTGGGTAAGGAAAAAAAAGTATTATCTAATTTGTACCCACTCAAGAAAGAGTTTAAGGTGGTAGGATTTTAATAGATTGGTTTGTCTCTCAGCATTAGTGATTCCGTTTAATTGCCAGGATGTGACTTAGAGAAATTTTATTAAAGGTATCCTAATTATAAATAGTTGGTATTAAAAGTTGGGGAAAGGAAACTATTATTGAATGTCTAATTATGTTTTAGACACTCTATTGTGAGCAATTTGCAAACAGTATCTCTTGGAATCTGAGGTAGGTGGTGATGTCTATATTATAATCAGAAAACTCTGGTTATTCATTTACCAAAGTCACATTACTAGTCAAAGGTAGAGCTGGATTCAAAGGAAGATCTCTCTTGTATCTCTTGGAATCTGAGGTAGGTGGTGATGTCTATATTATAATCAGAAAACTCTGGTTATTCATTTACCAAAGTGACGTAACTAGTCAAAGGTAGAGCTGGATTCAAAGGAAGATCTCTCTTAGTCCAAAGCCTTTATGTGATAGGAAACATTGAAATTATCACAAGAGCTGGGTTCCAGTCCCAATTCTTCCAGATGCAATGTGGGTTATAAATGACACCTAACATCTTTGGGTCTCAAGCTTTTTAAAACGAAAATGTTTTACTATGTGATACCTAAGATCCATTTCAGCTGTCTGCTTCTATTGATAAGGCCCTTCCATCCTCCTCCTCCTTTTTTCCCCCAATTCCAACTCTCTCCCTTTTCAGGCAAGCAGGTGGTGTAACATTATTGTATTTGTAAGTGATTGCTCTTCAAGTTAACTTTATTTTTGGTAGAAATTAGTTGCCTGCCCATAGATAAAATATATAATTGATTAAGATACACTTATATATTTTTGCACCTGTGTATAGGTGTTACTTAAGAGTACTGCTTTTGGCCAAGCGCGGTGGCTCACGCCTATAATCCTAGCTCTCTGGGAGGCCGAGGCGGGCGGATTGTTTGAGCTCAGGAGTTCGAGACCAGCCTGAGCAAGAGCGAGACCCCGTCTCTACTAAAATTAGAAAGAAATTAATTGGACAACTAAAAATATATAGAAAAAAATTAGCCGGGCATGGTGGCGCATGCCTGTAGTCCCAGCTACTTGGGAGGCTGAGGCAGGAGGGTAGCTTGAGCCCAGGAGTTTGAGGTTGCTGTGAGCTAGGATGATGCCACATGGCACTCTAGCCCGGGCAACACAGTGAGACTCTGTCTCAAAAAAAAAAAAAAAAAGTACTGCTTTTGTCTATAGTTAATGGTACTAATGAGGCTTAAACTATTCAGGCATTAATTACTTATAAGTCACATGGTTCAAATCTTGGCTTGCCACTTAACATGTTACCTTGGGTGAGTTAATTAATCTTTCTGAGCTTCAGTTCCTTGCTATAAAATGGGATAATAATGCCTATCACATAGAATTATTGAGAGAATCAAATAAAATAGTCCGTGTTAGGTATTAGGGAACAATGCCTAGTGCTATCATCATCATAAATTTTAGGCTATCATCACCACCATCCGTGTTATCATCTAAGGTAGGGAGAGGACAACAATTAACTGAATAGTTTTATTATTTTTCAACTTTAGGAGCCAGCTAGATATTAACAATAAGAAGAGTGTAGCTGATTCAATCCGTGATGAATATGCATTTCTTCAAAAGAAATATCCATCTCTGGCCAATAGAAATGGAACAAAGTATCTTGCTAGGACTCTAAACAGGTAAAATTTTTTTACCCTATAGAAATGAAATGGTTTTGTTTTACCAATAGCTGTCTGAGATCTTTCATTTTTAGTTCCTTACCTTTTCATACTGTTCCTTATACTTATTGTTTCACTTTTGTTTTTTGTATAGTATACAAGAACATAGCATAATATTAATAAGTTCTTGTAAAGTAGATGTCTCTATTTTTATTGGAGTGGTTGACATTAAATCATCATGTAGACTAGAATGAATGCTCAAGTGAATTTTAAAATGTTTTAATTATGAAATTTTTGACAGTCAATTTGAGGGTAGAACTAGATGGCAGATGACTTCATTTCCACTTTGGATTTCAGGAACTGAATTAAAATTTATTATTTTCACATGATCTATTCTTAATTTAGAATGTCTTCTATTCCTATTCATAGTAGAAATGATTTAAATTATATACTTGAATTCTGAATAGCCATTGATGGAATAGGGACTAGAATTCCTTTCTAGAAGATGTATAAAAGACTGAAGTGAAAGCCATCTTCTCTTATTTTTATCTTATTCTCTAAATTAAAGACCGATAGACTTGGCTCTTAGTAAGATTGATTTTTCACTGTGCTGGATACCCATTGTAAAAGATGTCAATGAGACCAAAATTATATAGGATTGAGTGACTTAGTTTCTTTGTGGTAGTTGCAATAATTTAAAAATAATTTGCATTTTTTAATTTTATATTTGGTTCTTTGGCATTTGTTACAATTGATGGGTTGAAAGCAAATTTAAAAAGCATTGACCAAAACTGGTTCCTTCATGTCATTTTTTTCAGACTAAGTATTTACCTCTAAGATTGCATTATTTTCTGCTCTTATAATTTAGGAAAAACCAACCAAAGTATTTCTTTCCTATTCTCACGCAGTCAGTCACTCAGTATGGCACAGAATGCTTCTGATACCAGATGTCAGATGGGGATTTTTTTCTCCCATACACCAAGCAAGCAATTCTTCAGTGGATTCTAACTAGATGTCCTCTAATTCAATTCAGTTCTAACACCATTTACCTGCAGAGAGCGTCAGATCCCACCAGTTGAGGGCTCAGTCCCACAAGACTGCCCTTCACTTCAGAGGCCAGTCACAGACATGGGTTGTAGCTTGTGCTTCTGACCAACTGGCTATAATTTGGGGTTTCCATGACCTCCTGCTCAGGTTCAATAAATTTCTTAGAGTGGCTCACAGAACGCAAGGAAACACTTTACTTATGTGTGATCATTTATTATAAAGGATATTACAAAGGATACAGAAGAACAGCCAGATGAAGAAATGCACAGGGCAAGGCATGTGGGAAGGGGCTTGAAGCTTTCATGCCCTCCCTTGGCATGCCATCCACCAGGAACCTCCATGTGTTTTGCTGTTGGGAAGCTTCACAACTCTGTCCTTTTGAGTTTTTATGGAAGCTTCATTACATAGGCATGATTGATTTGGTCACTGGCCATTGGTGATCAGCTCAACCTTCAGCCTGTCTCTCATCCCCGGAGTTTGGAGGGTAGGGCTAAAAGCCCCAACCTTTTAATCATGACTTAGTCATTCTGGTGACCAGGCCCTATCCTATAGCTATCTTGGGGACCCGAGCTACCAGTCATCTCATTAGCATCCAAAGACACTCATCACTCTGGAGATTCCAAGGAATTTAGGAGCTGAGTGCCAGGAAATGGAGACAAAGACCAAATATATATTTCATGGTATCATACCTGCCAAGACAAATTCATTGACAGGTTTCCCCTATTATTTGCATGTTAAAAATTTGACTTGTTTGGGGCTTCAGAGTATACAATTTTACTTTAAAATCCTTCCTTTCTATCTTGTTAGGTTACTGATGCATCACATCAGAGATTGCTTACCAGAGTTGAAAACAAGAATAAATGTTCTAGCTGCTCAGTATCAGTCTCTTCTAAATAGCTATGGTGAACCTGTGGATGATAAAAGTGCTACTTTACTCCAGCTTATCACCAAATTTGCTACAGAATATTGTAACACTATTGAAGGAACTGCTAAATATATTGAAACTTCAGAGCTGTAAGTAAGAAATTACTTTTCTGTAGATTTGGTTTCCTGGATTGCTAGGTCATTTTATCATTTATTAAAGTAACTTTAGCTGAGATTATCTGATTGTGATTTATTATCTATGAAACAGGAACATCATTTTGTAGAAATGATAGGATGATGTCTGGTATGTATGTAAAAATGCTTTATAAACTATGTATAAAGCACAGTAAAAATTTCAGATACTTTAAAAACTATTTTAATTGATAAGCATTTAAAAATATTTCTTAATTCTAAAAAATGTTATTTCTTTAATATCCACAATATAATTGTTCATGAAACGTAAGAAAATGCAGATGAGTAGAAATAAAACATAAGCCCAGGATTGTACCAGTGGTGCGTGCCTGTAGTCCCAGCTACTTAGGAAGCTGAGGCAGGAGGATCCCTTGAGCCTAGGAGTTTGAGGCCAGCCTGGGCTACATATTGAGACCCTGTCTCAAACAAACAAAAAAAAAGGTTAGCATTGACCTAGACATTTTTCTCTGCATCTGTAAAACATATAAATGCCTATTACACATAATTTCTGAAGTTTGGCATTGACCTAAACATTTTTCTGTGCATCTATAAAACATAAATGCCTGTATTATATACATCTTATAAATCAGATGCTATACTTACTATTTTGGAATCACTTTTTTAACATGTCACAAATAACTTTCTATCTAATGTTATACATTACATTGTCATTCTGAATATTAGCATAGTATTTTACTTTTTAGGTATATTCTCATTGGTTAAACCAGTCCCCCTACTATTGGACAGTTTGTTTTCAATACACCTGTATAATACACCTATATAAATGGTGTTGTATGTTGCACCTATCTCTGGGCATTGTATTACTCTGATGATAAATTCCTAGAAATAGAATTACTAGATTAAAAGGTATAACATGCTCAAAGTCTTTCATTACATATTGCATACTATTTGCATTTTGTACTCTTTTACTACTAGCATGATGTCTATTTCTCTACACCTTCATTTTTTAAAAAAAACTTTTTTTGGAAATAATTATAGACTAATAGGAAGTTGCAAAGAAATGTACAGAGAGGTCCTGTGCACCCTCCAGCCCACCTCTCCCAATACTGACATCTTGTGTAACAATTGTAGTACAATAACAAAATGAGAAAATGGATATTGGTACAATCCATAGTGCTTATTCAGATTTTGCCAATTTTACGTGAACTCATTTTGTGTGTGTGTGTGTGTGTGTAGTTCAATGTACCTTAGCGTGACCCAGGTGGTCTTTCATATGAGTTAACTCCATAGAGAGAGTATTTAACAGACTAATTATTGAATCATTATTATATATATGGCATATTGAGGGAAATAAAGATTACTACAATGGGCCTTTAAGGAGTTTAGTGGGTAAAGTAAGTCAAGGTAATATGAGGCATGATTAGGTGGCAAAAGTATAATTGTTTTATATGAACACTTCTTATTGTTAAATATAATATCCAGAAAAGTGCATATAACATACGTGGACCGTTTTATAAATAGTTAATAAATTAACTATCTGTGTCTACCTAATCAAGCTTTTAGGACATTGAGGAGAGACCATTTACATTTCTTCAGGGATGGGGAGAACTTCACAGTTATTTAGAGAAGGGAAAGGTTGGAGGTAGACCAATTACTGGTAATTTTAGCCATATTTAAGTGCACAATTTAGTGGCATTAATTACATTCACAGTTTGTACAACCATCACTAGTATCTGTATCCAAAATTTTTACCACCTCAACAGAAACTCTGTACCTATTAAGCAGTTATTCCCCATGCCTCTCTCCCCTAGACCCAGTAACCTGTAATTTACTTTGTCTCTATGAATTTGCCTATTCTAGATATTTCATGTAAGTGGAATCATACAATATTTGTCCTTTGTGCTTACTTCAGTTAGCATAATGTTGGACTAGTACCTTTTGTCTGAACTACTATAAAAAAGTTTTGGATAGTGGTGGTAAAAATAGAGAGGAAGGGATGATTTGGGGTGACATCATAAAGATATTTGTAGAATTCAACTGGACTTGAATAAAACAAAAGATAACACTAGGGTTTTTAGTTATTAAACAAAATAGGAAACACAAGGTGCTCAGTACATAGGTCAAGAGATTCAGTTTTGTCTAAAGCAGGTAGATGACAGCCCACCAGTTAAGAATGATTTTTACATTGTAAATCAATGTAAATTTTTACATTGTAAATGTAAAAATGAAAAAAATTCAAAAAAGAGTATTTCATAACATGAAAATTATATAAAATATAAAATTCAGTATGCATAAGTTTTATTGGAACACAGCTGTGCTTATTTGTTTACTTATTGTCTACGGCTACTTTTGTTGAATAGTTACAACAGGGACCGTATGGCCTGCAACGCCTAAAATATTTACTATCTGGCTCTTTACAGAGAAAGTTTGCTGACCTCTACTTTAGATTGTTAATCAACAGAAATGAATAAGGCACTCTTTCCTGTCCTTGAGCTCATAGTCAAAGAAAACTAGAACAGAGAAAAGGTGTTTAGCAATTCTTAGTTAACTGATGTTTTATGTCACAACAGTTACTATATATGCAAGTATATACTTGTACCTTTCAAGAAATGACTCCTAGTTGAGAACACATGGAAATGTGAATGGACTAAATGTGTTTATCTGAAGTTTTCTCAGGAAATGAGATGAGCTTAAAGCTAATAGAAAGACTTCTAACTTTTAGCTTCATTCCCTTTTAGTAATGCTAGAAACCATACACTTCTTTGCCTTTCAGATGTGGTGGTGCTAGAATTTGTTATATTTTCCATGAGACTTTTGGGCGAACCTTAGAATCTGTTGACCCACTTGGTGGCCTTAACACTATTGACATTTTGACTGCCATTAGAAATGCTACTGTGAGTATGCTTAACTTTTGTACTTTTTAAAAATGGGAGGTTAAAGCTTCATTTTTTTACCCATATATCTTTTTAAATTAATTGTAAACTTTGTTATTTTGCTCTCATACTTGAAATTAAGCACTTTTTATGAAATTATGTTTTAACCTTTGGAAAGAACTGAAATTACATGTACCTACAATAAGAGCTCTAAGTTTTATTTTTTCAGGGTCCTCGTCCTGCTTTGTTTGTGCCTGAGGTTTCATTTGAGTTACTGGTCAAGCGGCAAATTAAACGTCTAGAAGAGCCCAGCCTTCGTTGTGTGGAACTGGTTCATGAGGAAATGCAAAGGATCATTCAGCACTGTAGCAACTACAGTACACAGGTAACTGAGAGAAATGTAACTGCAAACTTCAGATTCACTAGTAAAGGACATGAGGCGGTTGCATAGGGTGGGAGAAAATGGGTAAGATGGGCTAAAAGTTAAAACCTCCAGTTCCCTCACTAAAAGTGATTTGAGATAGTACTCCTAAATGAAACTTCCAAAGCTAATTCAGAATTTCAGTCATGATTAAGTGAAATAAATTGACATTTTTCTTTCCTTCATCATTTATAGGAATTGTTACGGTTTCCTAAACTCCATGATGCCATAGTTGAAGTAGTGACTTGTCTTCTTCGTAAAAGGTTGCCTGTTACAAATGAAATGGTGAGCTACTGTGTCACAAATCATCATTGTAATCACTGTTAGTAAAAGTTTAAATTTTTGGTTGGCTGCTTTTTTATACAGCATTATATGATTACCTTAGAGTTTAGGCATAATGTTTCCCAGTGTATTGGGAGGACCAAAGTGAGTTTCAGTCTTATTTTAAAGGAAAATTTTCAGTAATTCTGCTATAAAGTATATTTTTCTTCATATTTTAATCATTGTTAGCCTGCAACAACAGGTTTTCATGAGATTGGAGTTATTGTTAACAATAACTCCCTTAAGGGTTGTGAATAATTTTGGTATGTTATATAGTATACTGATCTTAATGGAAAATTAGTTCTATCTTCAGCTTCGGTAAACTGAGGCTTTACAGCATGCTTTTACTTTATGAAGTACATCAGGGTAATCTGGCCATTTCTACAGCTTGCTTATTTGATGACCTAAACTATAATATAGTTGCTTGCTACTATTCTGTGAGTTGCTGCTATCCACAGTAATAAAAATGCTGAAATTGGCAGAAATATGGGATAAGCATTTAAAATTCCCTTATTCCTCTAATTGTTGGCTGGGTTTTTTGTTTTTTTGTTTTTGTTTTTCTTTTTCTTTCTGGTCACTAAAAGTGCATTTGGGTCCTTGGCTCAGGATGTGAGCCCCAGTGGAGGTTACTAAGAGTACAAAACCATCCTTGGAAATATAGAATGTAAGTGCTGCTGCTTGGTTGTTTCCTTAGCAAGGATAACCCTCAGATTCAGATGTCTAAGACTGAACTTAGCCTGATCTCAAACTCTACCTACTGATATCACCGAATCATTGGAACTTCATTTGAATAGACCCCTCTCACCTAGTTCTGAATCTGTAAGTGGTGTTCTGATACCTGAGATTTGTCAGGATAGTGCAGAGGACATAGTAAAGGATTTACATTTATTTTCTCTATAAGCCTTAGAAATTCTGTAGGGGGCTGGAGAAATTAATTTCAACTTTTCTTTTTGATTATCCCATTAGGATCTTGAACCCCATATGATTATTTTAACTAGGTGCTTCATAAGTAACACTCATCAGTCACTAATTCAGGTCTTTAAAATATATCCTTTACCCAAGTAAAGTTAACATCTTTAACTTATGTCTGATTATGAACTGTTTTCTTATTGTTGTTACTCAACTAAAACTTTGACATGGAATAGTGGATGATCTGAAGTTTTAATAGCAAAGTTGCATAAAGCCCTGGAACTTAGATTTGTATCAGGTAGATAACTTTTTTCTTAACAGTAAAATACTTCTAGCTACCTTAATGTCATTTTTCCCCCTTAGTAATGCAATTTTAGATGCAGAAATGTAAATAATTTAAAGCTAGAACTAATTATTTTTGGCATAAGATTTATCAGTTGGAATCTAATTATTGAGTAATTATTTAGGCATGAATTTCCTGTACTTTTTCAGTATTGTCTGTTTAGTAAATTTTATGTATAAATTTCTGGAACTAAAATTAGGTTGACATAGTTTTGAAGATAGCCTAACTCTATTTTTTTCTAGGTCCATAACTTAGTGGCAATTGAATTGGCTTATATCAACACAAAACATCCAGACTTTGCTGATGCTTGTGGGCTAATGAACAATAATATAGAGGTAAATACAGTTGAAACTGTCCTTTTTCACAGGTAGAAAATCTATTATAATTCAGTCATATCAAACTTATTAAGCATGGGATAACTATAAAATAGACATGTACCATATTAGTGCCTGTTTTATGCCAGGAAATATGCCAAGGAGGCCGGGCGCGCGGTGGCTCACACCTGTAATCCTTAGCACTCTGGGAGGCCGAGGCGGGTGGATTGTTTGAGCTCAGGAGTTCGAGACCAGCTTGAGGCAAGAGCGAGACCCTGTCTCTACTAAAAATAGAAATTAGCTGGACAACTAAAAAATATATAGAAAAAATTAGCCGGGCATGGTGGCACATGCCTGTAGTCCCAGCTACTTGGGAGGCTGAGGCAGTAGGATCGCTTGAGCCCAGGAGTTTGAGGTTGCTGTGAGCTAGGCTGACGCCATGGTACTCTAGCCTGGGCAACAGAGTGAGACTCTGTCTCAAAAAAAAAAAAAAAAAAAATTTAGCATGTAGACACTTCCTTAGTTTAAGGATTTAGTTCTTTTAACATTGAAATCTGTATCTAGAGCAGTTTTGTTATATTGACAAGGTCATATGTGATATGGTTTCAGATCAGTATTTTTCTACAGTGAGTATGTCTCTGGTTTTAATGACTGTGCCAAAGAACTTTATGGGGGTATTCTCATTTAATCTTTACCATACACCTGTGAGGGTAGATAATGTTAACAGATTGGAAAACCAAGGCTTAGAAGGAGTTGGTAACCTATCTACTTAAAGCAAGTAAGTCAGGTCTGCTGAGGTCCTAACTGGTTGGTAACAGCCTAGGGCGAGAATTACTGTTCTCTAGATTCCCTGCCTTTTGCTTTGTATCACTCTTCAAAATGTACATTTATACATGCTAACTCTATTCTGAAGATTAATATCCATATATTTTTATCATCTATATTTTTTTACCACTGGCTAATCTCTCATGAACAAATGAAAAATATGTCAATTTTCTGGAAAAAAAATTCCTTATACATAAAACGTGAAGCTGCTTCGTTAACATATACCTTTTTGTAAGTTTGAGAGTATTCATGAAATACTTTCTACTTAGGAACAATTTTGACTATATTTAAACTAAACGCTTTTCTACTGTATTTGATGCAGCCTATGAGAGATCCATTATTAACATCCACATCTTTCTATATCTTCATAATCTTGAACCTACCATAGTACTTAGATGTAGCAGGTGCATATTGATTTGAATTTAAGTTTCTTTAGCTTTTTACTGTAGTTACTTTGATAACATTAGCAAATTAGAACAGTGGGCAGTTAGTTGATCAGTCTGTTAAATTAGCCAGGTTAGAGAAAGGACTATCAGTTGTCAACACTATTTATTTCTTGGAAGTAGTTGGATAAAGAAAATGGAACAGTTTTTTTTTTTTTTTTAAGAATTAGTGTAACTTTTTATTAAGATGGTATTGTTTTTATTAAAGAAATACATGAAAATGGTTAAATAAAACCAAATAGTTCCAAAAGTCTTAAAATGAAAACAACAGTCCCGTCAGTTTCTTTCCAGAGGCAAGGGCTTTATACCACCACTGTGTTCACTTTCCCTTCATATTGTCCCCAAATGAAAATGGAACAGTTTTTAAGGATAACCTCAGCCACAGATACTTCTTCAAGTTATGGTTTTGTGTGTAGCAGTTGTGTGAATTTAACACAAAACTGTGCAGGTTAGAGTGATTTTTAAAGGCTTTGCTAAGTTTTCTGTGATCTGTGTGCTTCAAATACTACATGGTATTTTGAAGGCTTAATGTTCCACATTTATGTGGGGACAGTTTAAATCAGTGTTTCTTACCTTAGTGGGAAAGGGAGAGAAGATGTCAGTCTGTTGCCCCTCATTTCAGAACCCCTGGTATAGGAAGCCACTGTTACTGACACAGTATTGTATCCCTCTGGTGTGTTGGGGCAGGAAAAAAAGATTCAGAAGCATTGGATTAAATGATTTATTATTTATTTTAAAATAATGATAATTATGGCATGAGTCCCAACAGTGAGAAGATGTATCTGTAAGCTAGTCTACATTTTTTAGTAGGTATGTATCTCAGTGCTCTGATAATCACTTCTGTTTTGCTTGCTGGTGTTTTATAGGAACAAAGGAGAAACAGGCTAGCAAGAGAATTACCTTCAGGTGTATCACGAGACAAGGTAAAAAACCAATGTTTTTAAAGCATATTCCTAAATACCCAAAGGTGCACTGGTGAGCCTCAGAATATTATTCAGTCATAGAAGTAATTTTTTCTTCTCTCTTTAACACTCCATTGGAACTATTTAATTGTTTGAGTAAAGGTATGCAAGTTTAAAATAGTAATTTAAAGATAATAGTAGTTTGAATTCACTGGAATAAATGTTTAAAGGTGGCTTTTAAACATTAAGCCACCCTTTTAAAAAAAACTCAGTGACTGTGTCAACTTTGTAAAATTAGTTGAAATGACTAATGACTTTATTATAATAAGATTTTTGGAGCGGGAAGACAACAATATGCACGTAACAGGTTTTAATTACCAATAATACCTATAATAGTTACATATATTAATATATGTGTATAAATATTTGTTACTTTGAATTCTTTGCCAGAAAAGAATCTTATCAAATACCAAAAATAAAAACAAAGCTTTTGGATTTTCTTACATAGTCACCTGAAGAACACTTCACAATGGTGACAATGGTACAGGAAATAGGCAGGGTAAACAATTTTATCTCCCATGATTACTTTCGTTTTTCATGTTATTTTACTATTTTGTTACAGAGGTGAAAAATTCACATTTATAGAATGTTTCTGAATTCATTTTTGGCATCCTTGATTTTTTTTTTTTCCCCCTGCATTTTTTGATTTTAGTCTTCTAAAGTTCCAAGTGCTTTGGCACCTGCCTCCCAGGAGCCCTCCCCTGCTGCTTCTGCTGAGGCTGATGGCAAGGTCTGTTCTGATTCCTAATCTAAACTTGCATGCCTAGCTGTTTGGTGCAACATAATCTTCTGGAAACAATACACTGGATAGAAGAATATAAATATGAGATATTTGTGCTAAGGTCAGATCATTTTAGTGTAATATAAATTTTAAAATTATTTAACAATGTATATTTTATAAAATATTCTTGACATGCTTTTGCTTACAATATAAAAAGTGCCCACAGAAAAAAGTAATTTAAAGAGAAAATTATCCTGCACTTTTTGAATTTCAAGCCATTGGTATTTAAATTTTGCTTGTTAAATTGCATGTTTTAACATATCTTTTAACAGTTAATTCAGGACAGCAGAAGAGAAACTAAAAATGTGAGTCTGTTGCTTCAAAATGAAAATGTTAGTACCTTTGGTTCTCACTAAAACACTGTCTTTAAAACCATTGAAGAACCTTGTTTGTACAGTGGCATCTATCTCTTGTTGTCTGTGTTATGTTCTTAATGTTCCTTTCATCTAACCCATGTAAGATGGCATTAAAATTCTAGTTTTAATTAACAACAATAGGCTTTAATAACTAGTAACAGTGGGAAATAGGCTTTCCCACTGTTTTCCTGTTCAAGAATAGATTTGAATTTAGTATTTTGGTAGGGAATTAAGATTTCAGAGATGGAAATGTTACTTTTGAACATTTCCTCTTTAAAGATTTTGAGATCTGTTCAGTACTAATGGATAATCCTCTAATGCTTCTTTCTTATGCTTCCAATTAGTTTGTACTTGGCCCCCCAAATGTATAGCTTCACATGTGCTTCAAAAGCTTAAGCAAATTCAAAACAAACAGGAGGACTGAGAGTTTAAGACTGTGGTCAATTCTTGATAAACCTTTTAGGGTAAAATTAAATAATGTGTAAATTACTCAGACCTATTCCTATTTATCTCCTTTCCTTATTGTCCATATTTAAGGTTCTTAACCTTAAAGCCTTATGTCTTCTCTTCTCTCAGCCTACTGTGCTCAGATATTAAAAGCACCTAAATCACTGCACAAGTTTTATTTCATTCATAGCATCACACTGGATACGCTAACTTTTCTTAAGATTTCATTTGCTGAATCACTCATGTATGGTTAACAAGCGTTAAAACTGTAACTACTCGTTTGTAAATTAATGTATAATATAAATGTATTGCCTGCATTTAGATGTATCTCACCTTAACTAACATACTAGAGATAGTTTTTGGCCAGTATTCTGATTCAGAATGATACCCCAAAACTGGCATTTTTCTAACAACTGCTATAACATTATGTTAAATTTATATAATCCATTTTTAGACTGTGATCTTAAAGAGCTTCTAAAAAAAAATCTCCTAAATATTGATGAACTGTTTTTTCCATTATTGTAGCCATCTTTAAGAAGTCAAGACTCTTACATATATCCTAGAAAATAAGGTGCAAAGGCACTTGTGATTAATGGTAGCACTAGATTTCTTTCAGCAGATCCTTTCTCAGAAGAATTTGTGTTTATGTCATATTCCACATTTGAGGCAGCTTATAGTGATTGTCAGCCTAAGAAAAGAATATCCAGTTTTTTTTTTTTTTTTTTTTAAAGTTTTTACTCTGGCCTTTTGGGATGCTTAATGGTCCACATTTATGTGGGGACAGTTTAAATCAGTGTTTCTTACCTTAGTGGGAAAGGGAGAGAAGATGTCAGTCTGTTGCCCCTCATT